AAAAAAAAAAAAAAACTTTCATGACAAAGTTCTTTTTCGTTCAGTGTGGATGAATGAGTCGGCGCAGTTTGCTCTTTCTATGGACCGAATTTCCTTCCCTTTGATGGATCTTTTTCCTGCAGCCTTGAAATATTTCTTTTTTTTGGCTGGTTACTAATTGCAATTAGTTTATGTTATTTCAAACTTCCAAATTGAGATAGAAAATGGAGTATTTGACATCATATATAAAATGATATTGGCCATAATTATTTTTTAGGCAGTTCATTAAAATATGAGGATTTGCAAGAATCAAATAGTACGTATACATTATAAATGATGATAACCTAGAAATTTCAGTAAACATTTTAATGAACTGCCTAAAAAATTTTTTTTAATGCCTAAAAACAATGGAAAAATACTGCTATATTTGCTCTTTTTTATCAGATGAAAAAAAAACTTATCTACATCGAATAGATATTATTTTGATGTTTTTAACGAGAACATTTATTCGAAATGTACAATTTGAATTCCTACTTACATATGTGAATATTAAATAAATTTTTAAACATGCAAAATTTCCATTGAACAGCTCGAAGTATTTTCATCAAATGCATATTGCTTCTAATGAAAATAAGAAATATTCTGACTTGTCGAAAAATACAAAAGTCTTTCAACTTTACTTAAACTTTCATCTTTTAAACAGAAATGAGAAGAAAAAATGCATAGAACATCAAAGAGATACGGTAAGTACAATGCTCGGTCAAATATAACTTTCCTAAGACACCTAATAATTCAAAGTATTAGTTTATAGATTGATTATCAGATTCTATATGTCAATTAGCTCTTAAAACTTCTATCTCCTTATTCAATACTTCTTTACTGTAAAATAAATATAAGCTATTCAGAAAAATATGAAATCTAGAAATGTATTTCATATTTTTGGAAAAATTCAACAATCACTTTCCCTCTCTCACATCTTACATATTACATAATAATAGTGCAAAAAAAAGTATGAATTGATTAAAATAATGGAGCAATAGTTCAAAGGTGCAGAGAATGGTAATAAATAATCTTGGCATAGTGATGGCAGAACATGAAGAAAAACTAGAGAACAAGCATCAGATTAATAAATCATTGCAGTTGTAAAGAGTTTAAAGGTTAGAGGTGCAATTGCTTCAAAATTAAATCATTTTAAATTTTGACTTGATTTTAAACAAATTCATTAGCAGCAAAATTTATTAGCTTCTTCATTTAAATACATTTCAATTATTTCTTGAGAAATTTAAATTTCATAAAATTTTGCATAAGTTAAATGACGATTTTCCATCGTTTTAGAAAAAAAATTTTCGGAAATCAATAATATCAATAAAAGAAGTATAAAAAGTAAGGAAGAAGAAAAAATATGTAAACATCGGTGAGTTAAATTTAAATTATTTTCAAATTCGCATATATCAGATGTGATTTCATGCGGAAAATGCAAAATTACCGTACACAGAAAAGACAACGGATGAAATTAACCACCAAACTTCCGATAATCAAAATACCCATTACCACGAGCAGTACGACGATCCATTCCTGAAAAAATGCTTCTTTAATTTCCATTCCGACTCATTTAAAATTGATGGAATAATTATAAAATCGATTGATGTATGCATTACGGACATTCCTTTCGTACTGACCATTAACATCCCATTTTGTAAGGACGTATAAATTTAACCTAATATTTTATATTAATTTAATATGAAATTAAACATTAAATGAATGAACGTACTTGCACATTAATGCAAGAAATGAAAATTAAATTAATCGAAATAATGTCATATTGATTTGATGCTGATAATAGCGATGCAAAAATTTCATATTCAACAAATTGTGTTATGTTTTGTTAGTATATATGGATATCCATTTTCGATCATTGTTTTCGATCTATCAGAAGCAATATGTATTATTTATATATGAAGGATAAACCATTTTGATTATTTTGTTGATAAATTCCCGGAAGACAAAATATATATTAAATCAATGTTTTAATGAGAATAAAAAGAAAGAATGCTTTAAATAGAACAAAAACAATGTCTCAATAGCGGAAACTTATGATCCTAAAAGTTCAAATTAAAAATCCCAGCTGAAGATTTTCAGACACTATTATTATTTGAAATGGATATCTCACTCGAGAATGCTATTTAGATTTAATTGAAAAATTATTTAAAATGCGTGCCTTACTCATGAATGCTTTTGAAACCGAAAAATATTAGCATAAATTTGAAAACAATAAGTAAAGATATATCACTGAACATTAAATTTCATTTTAATTTTAATTGTTCCTAAACAACTAATTAACTCTAATGAGTGGGTAAATTACATTATTCACTTAGATCACCGCTTCCATGATCATTCATTCTTCAAATCGGATTTATCCCGGATTTATCTCTTGAAAACTTGTTTGTATGAGTGACATTTTAATATATGGGTTAAAGAAATAAACACAATTTCTAAGAAAAAAAGACGATAAAACGATGTAAATTTGTACAATTATTGGTACATATTAATTTTTCATCATTTCTTTTATTGAAACAAGAAAAAAAAGAAAATTTTGCATTATTTCATTTTTGATTTGTATTATAATAGGATTGTTTTCAATTCAAATTAATTTCATCTCTTTCAGATTATAATTTTAACAGATATTTAGATGGTTTTTGAGGGATTTTCTACGATATCACAAAATAAATGATGATATTTATATTTATTTCTTTGTACTAAATTTTTATATAGTTAAGCTTACCTGAAGCCTAAAGCAACAGGAGCTATTCAAATCACCGCAACAACGATAATAGTACAGTGGCGTTTCTTCAGGACACTGTTCACCGACCACAATTATTGGACATGCCAATGAACTTTTCCTGAAGAAGATTTCGAAATTAATTTAGAATGGTAATTACTAATTATAAAATTATTAATATATGCCTAACAACCTTGTAATTCTTTCTATGCTCTATTAAAAATTATGAGGAAAATTTTTTAATTTTAAAAAATTTAAGAAAAAAGATAAAAATGTCCGAAACAGAGAAAAAAACTGCAAAACACTGATGAACTGTTGAAAACTATGGGTATAAAATTTTTGAAAAGTAAGGAAATAAAATGATGAAACAAATCTAAACTTAAAATTACAGCAATTTTGCTATTACTCCCAATTACTTTTCTTTACTCGTAATTTAGTAAACAAGAACGGAAAAAGAAACAAAAAACATCAAATAAATAATTCAACAATAAACCATACAATGATTGTAATTTATTTATTCAGCTAAATGATCAAAGGAATAATTATGAAATTTAAAAATCATTATAGTACCTAATGAAACGTTCCAACAAATCGACTGTTCTGTAAGGCATATTATTACGATTTTACTGCAATTTTTGGATTTTTTCCTGATTGAACTAACGTAAAATTTTCTTTTACATTTGCCGAAGGATGACAAATTTGATGAAAAAAGTCGTAAATACTTCTCGACAATCAACGATCTAACGGGAATGATTAAAGTATAACGGTAAAATGAGAAAAGAATGAAATGAAAGCTCGTTTCTTGTGCTCTATTTGGGGAAATCATTACTAATGATTTCAACAATACGATAACTAACTCTTTTTTCTGTTCAAAATTACTTCAAAAAAAAGAGAAGAAAAAATAAATTATATACAATTATCTATCTTCTTAAATTTAAAAGAAAAGTGTGTTTTCAATGTGAATTTCAGCATAAAATTTGTAAGCTTGATAATATGAAAGTACCATAGTAAAAATGTCCAAGAAACTTCAAGTAAACCAAAAGTCAAGAAAGATAGCATGCTTATTAGTTAAATCAAATGATTATTAGCGTGGTGAACAATGTTGTAACATCAAAATGATTCAATAGATTGTTTTGAAGTTAGTTCAGGATGATAAAATTAAAATCAAAAATATTTACGTTTGGCTTGAAAACATTTCAAAATTACGTAAATAGTTTGTAATTATTTAAATGAAATTTCACTTACTTCAATTCGAACATTTTGATACCGTTGTTTTCACCAGGATCATCGATATATGTAACTGCGACTGCTACACTCGCTAAACATAGCAAATAATATACACAATGAATCATAATTGACTACCTGAAGTTTGAAATTTTGTTGAATAAAATTGCATTCTTCGAAATCAGTTTAAAATATTCATTACGTCGCCAAGAAAGCTCGATAAATGAGTTGATAAGTTTATGGGCTGTGTTATTCATACAAAAAGTAATATCATTAGTTTCATTTCATAATTTAGTATTTAAATTTTATTTCTGAATGTTATTATTAAATCACAACCATAATAATTCATATGTAAATCTGAATCGAAGTTAGCCTACACGTAATCTTATCTCCCACAAACGTGAATGATATTTGTGATATCGGTCAGTAATAAAATTTGACAGCAAAACAAATTAAATTAAATAATACATTTAAAATAACGAAAAGCTATGCCTAATTAAAGTAAAGTTTAACTTTTCAAAAAAAAAAATTTATTTTCATGTTTGACACGGATTGCCTAATGGTCGGTTTATTTGCCAAATATTCAATGAATTATTTCTTTTCTGAAATTTATCAACTCACAATTATTGCATTTAAAATTCAATTATTTTCGGCATAAAGATTTTCCGATTATAACTTTAAAGCAATAGATTGAAGAAGTTGTAAAAAATTTTTTTATCCTTTTTAAAATTTCATAAAAATTTTTAAAAATGCAGCAGAAGATATGACATGACTAATCTTAAAATAAACTATAACAACGAACCAGTAGATAGCATTAAAAGCAAAAAAAAAAAGGAAACTTCTAATGAAAATTTACGCCACGATTAATTGATTATTGTGTATCGGAATATAAACTTAAGAAATAAAAACAAGTTTCTCAGGATAATGATGAAATCAAATTTTATAGCTAAAAATTACAAATGAATTTATGTGCATTGTGGTAGCTATCGGAAACATGTAAAAAGCTGTAATAAAAAAAGTGTCACAAGGATAAATCACTCTCAAATATATCTAAAGAAACTAAAAAAAGTACGAAGAGTCACGTAAGCATTATGGAAATAGGAAGCAATATGGAAGGTGTCACATGGGAACCTAATCTTTACCATGAAACGACGTGATATATGAAAGTACCTAATAATCTTTATCATGATATGTGAAAATACCTAACAACCCAATGATCTTTATTAAAAATTATGATACATGAAAAGATAGGTTATGTCAATAATCATTATTTATATTACTGGAGAAACGAAAAACATATGGAATAGGAAATTTAATTTCTAAATATCCGTTATTATGAAAATTATCAACATCTGTTGTAAAAATGGATTACTTTTATTACTTTTTACTCTTATCATTGTAAGCATAGAATTTGAAATAAATTTATTTCAAAAATAATAATTGAATATTTTATATATTAAAAATTTTATGAAATATAAAGAAAAGAATAATGCCATTGGAAAATGTTACAAAAGTGATTTCTCACAAATTGAAAACATCACATTTTCACATTTACAAGTAAAGCGCTATTCTTAGATCCGATCGGCGATATATAACTTTTTCATCGAAGAAATTAATCAATCGCATAATTTTCACGTGTTTTTTTTTAATTTGAACTATTATATTTCTAATAGTTAGTGGTTCATTTACAATAATTTATCAAAAATAATTTTTCTTACTTTATGAAATAATTTGCAACATTTAAAAAATCATCAAAGATTTGAAATGATATCTTTCGATGAGAAAATAGTAATACCATCTGAATGTTTAAGTTCATTTTAAATTTCAGTATTTGTTTTAAACATAACAAAGAATATTCATTTTATGATAACAATTTATGCATTGATGATGGAAGATAAAGTAAGAAAAATATTACTGAAAGAATGAAACGATAACAAGTCAAGTATGAATAAATTTTTTTGCCACAAGATTAATTAAAATATTTTATAAGTCTATTTCAGAACCATTACTCTAACATATAATCCGGTTAGTACACTCTGAATGATCATCCTATTGTTATACCGGGAAATCAATAATTCCTATTTTTCAATTCAGTAATAACCTTCAAACCAACATGAATATTAAAAATCAAAAAATTTCACAATAATGAAAAAAAAAAAGAGGAAGAGTAAAGTGCAGGAAAAATTTGTATAAATGAATAAAGGAGGATGAATTGAAAATGTTGAAAAATGAAGAGAATAATTTGTGCGCAACTATGCATTCCACATGACAGACAGCCTAACAAAAAGAATCGGTTGGTCGATTTCTTCCCGATAGGGCGGTTGAATATGTTGTTGGAGATATTCCATTACTACCATTCTCTGTTTGATCGATATTTAATTATTCATCGGATGATTGACATTCAATAAAGGTGATAGAATGGTAGGGAAAAGTGAGCTACATTCTCTTGACCAGTGGTCAACATCTTTCTATATCATTCAGATCAATGATCTATATCTCTCTATGTCATCCTGACCAATGATCTCTATTTTTACCACATCATCTTGAAGCAGTGGTCAACAATTTCTCTATATGGTGACAAATTTGTCACAATGCATTTTTAGAATTTATTTTTCAACAATTTTTCATTCGTCTTTGTAAGGAAAAGAAGTAGAAAAGTTGAAGTGATATATGGAGGAGTTTATTTTAGGATTTAATCAAAAAAAAAAAAAAAAGATGCTCTTTTATGAGATATGAATTAGACTTGAGGAATTTCACAGGGTCAATCAAGCCGCTAGACATGATGATTATAAGTGGTTGAGAGCTATTAAACAATCTATCATCTCTGTCTACATCAATAAACGTTTAACTATAATTATTTGTTAGCATGGTGGTCCTATCCTCTTTAAGGGTCATTCATTTTTAGGATGACAAATGAACTATTACACATATTCCTTAATGATTTCCTCAACTTCCGTGACCCTTATCCGTTTGTCCATCTCAATCAATGCCTTTTTCAGGATCTTTTATGAGCAAAATTTTCCTTCCTTAAAAGATTTTAAAAGAAAACACCGACAAATAACACGCAACATTTATTTCAAATTTAAATGATTGCAAGGCTAAGATTTTTTTTAAAACGGCATTAAGTAATTATTTTGTATGGCATCGATGGAGAATTCATAAATGAAAGGAACGGACGCATCTGAAAATTAGCAATGAATGTGAGGGATATGCATAGATGCATTTTAATGATTAAATGAATAAGTATAGTCATTTTTTGTTTCCTGAATCAATCAATAATTTGTATCTTAGTACATTAGTTAACTTCTAATCATTTATCCAATATATTTTAAAACTTTAGCATACGTATTTTTCCTTATCAATGAATCGATCGGCATCATTCTTCATTACCGTTTGATAGTGATATTCTTCGGCAAATCGATAACGCTCGAATAATACTCTCAGTAACTTCTGGAAAAGTTTTAGTAGTATGAAAATTTAAATGGTATTCAAAAAATCCTTTCAAAATTTTGAGGAAATTGGTAATTAAGTTTAATCAACAATGAAAGAAACTCACGAAATTTCAGGTTGTTGTACAGAATAGTGAAGCATATTAAAATTTTCAACTAATATATCAGTCAATCATTTCTAATTAAACTAGCCGTTCGAATTAATTGTATCCGTATGATTATCCCTTTGCAGTAAACTAAGTATTTTGTATTGGTGATAATATCAGGTGATTTGAGGGGAGAGAATGATGATCAACTGATTGAATAATATTAGATGATCAGGTAAAGGTGATGTTTCTTAATGTAAGAAAGTGATGATATTTGAAGAGTCAGATGGTTAAAATTGCCAATATCTTTATTTTTAGATGAATGAAGTTAGCGCAAAATGCTTAACTATGTTTGATTTGATATTACTGGAACAAAACTCATTAATAGATTATCATCGTGATCTATTTATAAATATCTTAAAGATTATGAATAATATTTTTAAGTCAAAGTTTAGCTTACTAGGTATAATAAATCCTGTGCAATAACATCGTTTAGCGATGGCTTCCAAATCTTAATTGGAATCCATAAATCCTGAAAGAAGGATAAAATCACAAATTTGAAACGACCTGATATATACTTTATATGCCACTGTAGTTATATTTTGTAATAACAGTAAATTTCGTACTAAAGATGAGTTAATTCTCTTTCTATTGTTTTCTGATCAGTAAAAATTTTTTTCTTTACATGTGTATTTTTTATTGATCGGGAAACAATAAAAAAAAAAGGAAAATATTTAAACGGCAAGAATATTTTTCGTTCATATCCGACAAATGTTATACGGTAATTATGATTGTGCGAGAATTTACAAGTTTCAAAAATTAAAAACTTGATTGAAACTTCTATGTCATTAAATAATTCGAAAGAATTGCACTAATAATTGCGCATACTTACGGGATAAACAAATTTGAATTCATTTGAGAATGCTCTATATAATCCATATGTGGTATTGTAAATGAGATTGAATGGTGGTGGAATGGCGGTAAACCATTCGAAATATTCCGCATAAATTTGACAACGAGTGAATTTCCATTCCATATCTTCATTTTTCTACAATTCAGAGAATTTAGAAATAGTTGTACATCAATGTTTTAATGAGAATAAAAAGAAAGAATGCTTTAAATAGAACAAAAACAATGTCTCAATAGCGGAAACTTATGATCCTAAAAGTTCAAATTAAAAATCCCAGCTGAAGATTTTCAGACACTATTATTATTTGAAATGGATATCTCACTCGAGAATGCTATTTGGATTTAATTGAAAAATTATTTAAAATGCATGCCTTACTCGTGAATGCTTTTGAAACCGAAAAATATTAGCATAAATTTTAAAACAATAAATATTTCAGCAAAAATTTACATTATATTAAAAACCAAGAACTAAATGTTTCTTTTAAAATCGTTGTTTAATTTCAATTTAACGAACCTGAACTGTATCAGCCGTTCGAACTAACATGGAAATCATTAAATTCAATAAAGTTACTACAACAGCAACATGAAATGTAGCAATTGTGATTTCACCGGCATAGTTAGTGAGTGGATGTTCGGTAGGCTCCTGATTAGGCCCAGCATTACCCACAATAAGCTTGTAATCCCAAGGAGCAAGGTAGCCATAAAATGACCAATATAAATTACGAAATGTTATCCCTATGCTAGAAAATTTGGATTTGCTTGATTTCAAAAAAAATGATATCGCAAAAAAGAAAAATGAAAAATAGCAAAAAATTTTAGCATGGTTATAACAAAAAATAGAATTTTTGTGAAATTATCACGTAACTAATTAAATATCAATGATCGATATCTTACTCAAAATAAGCATTTCAGAGTCAAATTTAAAACTAATCTTTTTCAGAGAACAAGAAATTTAAATATTTTTTAAAATGCTTTTAGAATGTTAATATTGTTTATTTTTCCCATACCTAGAATAGGTTTCTTTTTGTTTAACAATATTTCCATCTTTGTCCAAAACACGATTTTCATTATAAGCTTGATACATTGTATTTATACCCAATGAGAAACATATCATTATGATAGCAGCTATTGATAGGAATATCATAACATCGCGAATACATTTTGAGATTGATATCGGAAAAGAAATTGATATTAATACGAAGAATCAAAAAAAGAACAAATTTTTTGAGCTACTGATTGATATTTCAAATGAATAATAATATGAATGATTACGATTAGATTACGATTAAAAGATTGAAATTATTTTAGTAGGCTTGCACAAAATTATGCTTATCATCATATAATCATGAAAGAATTACGTAAAATTCAATGAACGTTCTTATGAATGTACTTAATTATGAATAATAATAAGTTGATGGAAATTTTGTCATGTTTCAAGGATTGACAAAGAATACTCAGATCTTTTTCATAATTTTTAATGCAAAAATTTTTACCGATAATATATATCTTAACACTTGGAAGTTTAGTAGATTGAAAGAAGTGAAAGATTTTTTTTTTCAATATTATATATATGGTTTAAAGTAAAGTAAATAATCAGTTAAATAGTTATGCAAATTCTTCAACAGTCAAAAAATTCAGACAGAAGAAATTCAAAAGTATTATTAACTCCTAAGCTAATCAATTAATTTATTAATACTTATCTAAGCAATGATACAATATTGTAAAATTACTAACCCAGAAACGGTCAATTTTTTTCTTTAATAGGTTATTAATGATATAATAAATTTAAGCAACAAGAAATAAGATTACTTGAAAATAATTAACTTGGCATATTTAAAATTTGTGATAATACTTACAATAGTTGAGCCAATAAATCGTTGTAGCTGAAAGTAATACAAAATTCTCCATAATGCCATTATGGAAGCCGCACCAAAATAAATATCGTAAATTATCGAAAAGTCATAATATACCTAAGATTATAATAATTAGAAAAGATAAATGCACAAATTTTAATAATTAATTTGATTTTATATTGTTTAACAGCAATAATTATCGATTTATTCTTTTGTATTTAAGATTTATAAACTTGTTGGAAAATCTTCAAGAATTGCTTTTGCTTAAAATATTATTTTTACAAGTTTAATTTGTATTTTTACCAATCTAGGATACATAAGATTTTACAAATCACACTATAACTAAAATGAAAATGAACCCAATGTCTTCGATGCAATTGTTTTAATCCATCTTGGCTAATGGTAGCCGCTGTCATAACAAAGCAAAAAAATGATCCCGAAAATAGCCATATTAAAATAAGGTCAAACCTATAAACATTTGCTAAAAATTGAACAATTTTGATAAATTTATCTAATTTTAAACTTAATTTATTTCATTTTTTTAAGGTAAAAAAATGAGAAAAAAAATTAACCATCGCCACCACACATTGTAAAATCTTGCAAAACCTTTACTAGCAAATTCAATATAATGTGTAACAGATAAACCATAAACATATAAATATACATAACATTCTAATATTAACCGCAAATCTATAAAAAATCTATAAAATCTATACAAATCTACAAAAAAATTTATTTCTAATTTAATATATAATACTACAAAATTTTTTTTATCCCGACAAATCCATTTTTATTTTTCATTCTACGCCTTTTAAATTACTTTTTGCCTGACATATATGACAGTCCCAAATAGAAAAAATTATTTTCAATGTCATTTTGATAACCATGAAATGATAGCGCAAAAGTTTTTCTTTTCTCTGTTACAAATTGAATTTATATTATAAAAGCAAAGATTGTTGAAAAAGTAGTAAAAATTAATTTTTAAAACAAACAGCTATTAACAAGCGATCGTTCGGTTGATCGCTCACCCGTCCTACCAAAATATCGAATAAAAATTAAAATAATAAGAAATAGTGTATAACTTGCTAATCTGCTTATATACCTAAAAATTTTAATTTTATATAAATTTTTCAAGAATTAAAGTGTAATTTTTGAATGTTTGAAACTGTGTCAACTTACCGTGCTAATGGATATTTAAATGTTTTAATACAATATCCAGCACTAATTGCATGAAGTAATGCTAAGATTGGATAGCATAAGAAATGTCGAAATTTACGACTCAAGTCTTGATATTTAAATTTTCCCATATCTGTCCACATTCCACGCCAATGATCTTCCATTGCTGCTTGAACACCCAACGAAGAGAGAAACTGTAAAAATTTCACTTTTTTTGGAAGCATAAAAAATTCAAACGATATTTTAAATGATTTGAAATTTTTTAATGGATAACTTTCATTTCAACTCCTTCGACTTTTTATATAATGAAACGAAAAATAGCAATTTTTCTATCATTGTTATCACCAACAATCACGATTGTAATTAATACTATCAAATGTGTAAAATTCTCGAACTCAATAGACAGTATTTTTTAGATGATTTTAGCATTGCTACGTTAATGAACGTATAATTCAGCAAAAGTATATTAAACTTCGCTGCTGAACAATACCGGCTTCATATGAGCCTTGAGAGCTAATTGGACACGTGGAAAAGGTAATTCACAATCAGCCAAAGGTGATCCAACTTTACGTGACAGTAGCACATGGATTTCTTCTGTTGTCCAACATTGCTCAACAATTTTCACCGCAAACGTCATCACATTATGACGTAAATCTCTATACGCCACCTGTATTACTTATATGTTCCATCGAAGGTATTTAAAGTAGTTCCGAAAATTTTTAACTAAATAGAAATAGCATTGTCGATTGGTTTTTTTGAATTTTTATTTTTTTTCCAAAAAAAGATAGAAATTTACCGAATAGCACAGACATTACCTGCAAAGTCTGTAATATTGGAGAGATTTAAATTTTAAAAAACATAGAAATCCTTGATGATAAATGAAGTAAAAAGTGCAGAAGTTTAGCATCTTAGGTGATCAATATCGAATATAATTAATCAATTAATTAGTTGGTCATTGGAGAAAGAATGATTGAAATTATCTCAGGATTTACTTTGTTTTCGTTTTCCATTTCTTCGCATACTTGCAAATCAATGACAAGATTGAATGCAGCAAGCAATGGATCGGTGCATGCAAGCCATAGGAACGGCGCACTGCTAATTGCGCGATAGGTATCCAATAAAATTACACTATTTGCCATGCAACGTGAGCTACGTGAACATTCATCACAAGAACCTTACAGTTTAGATTTTTTAAAACAAGCAATATTTAATTCGATTCTTTGAATTTAATTAATTTCACATATAATTGTTGCTTTAATTTTGATAATTTTCAAATTTGATGAACAAATGATAATTATTAAGGAGGCAGTAAGAACAAGGAATAATGAAACAAGAAAAACTTGAAAATTTACAATCAGTTCGATGCGGTAGCTGCACATAATGCTTCCTAAGAAGTAAACATTGAACGATGGAAAAATGATTACATA